CTTAAATTACACTACCAAAATATGAATATTTATAATTCAGAACTATGGCACATTTGCTACATCTTTAAGATATTTAATGAGATTTCTCTGTAATTATGAGTACCTAACAATTCAGGAGTTCCAAGTACTGCAACCACGGTAATCAGTGAAGCCTTACAAAATCTGAAGTCATATGCCTTTAGTTAAATATAAACCAGTGCAGGAGAAGCGAGGTCACAATGTTATTTTACTTGAATAGTTTTATATTCTGGATATTTATAAACAAAAGAGACAGGTTGATGAGTAGTCTTATTCTGTTATATTTCTCATTTTAAATAAAATACAGTATTTATAAAAATTCCATTACAAATCTATTCATGAAGTGCAGATTTTTTAACAAGCACTTACTAAGTATATGCTATGGGGCATATTGCTCGGAATCTGGGGAACAATCTTCAATACTGCACCTACCTTTTACCATAGGGTAATAAATTAGTATAGTCCAATGTTTAGTTCTATATTAGAGAAGAAACTTTTTCAATAAAACTCTCTAATGATGTAGTAACCCTGTAGACTTGTTTATGACAACTTCACATTAGCCAATAACCTCCTTACAAAATTTTAAACATCGGTGTATGGCATTTAATAGGTTTTAAAAAAGAAAAGAGCATAGCCTTGAAAATGTGGTCATGAATTGAGCTCATTTAGATCACACTGAAAAAAAAAATTTCAAGTGTAAGCTGGAGCTCACAAGAATGAGAAGTTTAACACCAAGCCCATGCAGTCTTCCTCAGGGCTTCATCTTTCTAAAGATCTCAAGAAATATGAGTTACAACGTAAACCTAGAAGTAAATTCCAGTATAACCACAGTGTAGGGGATATTGACAACTTTTTCCTGCATGTCTCAACCTTCAGAATAAGTCAGAAATATACAGAAAGTCTAAAGGTTAGGAAACAGCAAAGTAATCGCCATTATTTTCATAGAAGACCTAATTTCAGTTATAAACCATGAAGAATTCTCCCCAAGCATGAACAAATTGGAACTCAAGGAGGGGAGCAAAGGAAACAGGGGTCAAGGCTACATCTTTGAGCCAATTCTTAGCTTTTGATCCAGGCTAGGACTAGGGTAAGGCAAGTGAGATAGGGTGTAATACTCAGAAGGCACCCAACAGACAGCTCCCTTAGCTGTTACACCCTTGTGTCTCATAGACCTCAGTGTAAGCCAATAGGGCTATAGCAATTTCAAATCTTTTGGGTCAAGAAATCCAATATGTCAAGAAAATGTTGCTGACCAAAGAAATAGGTCTGTACATTAGAAAGATATAAAAGGTGGAGAGCATGCATGAACATGTTCAAAAGAGAAGCTACCTCTTCACTGGAAAATTACTTGCACACCAAAGATATGCAATGTTGTCCACCAACCAAACTCATTGTGCAATAGTTCACTTGGGACTGAAACATAATTTACCTTTGAAAAAACTGGATTACCTCAGATGAAATTCAGCCCTAAAATGTATCCATAGGCAATAAAAGTCTATTACAATAGTTATTCTGAAAAGTATGTGATAACCTTACTACTATACCTAGCCCTACCTCTGATGTGTGCAAAGAGGCTCCAATATAATAACAAATCTTATTTCCCACGAATAACTTTTACAGCTGCTACAATATAACTAAATGATTCTAATTGCAGGAGGTTTTGCAGTTGCCAATTTCTAATCAAATAACAATAGCTCCTCCAGATTGACTTAAGTAGAAATTTCTATGATGGAATCAGAATATAAAATCTTGCAAAGTGAAACCCCTTGAATGGGGTATAATGATTCCTATGGCTCATTTGTATCTGAAGTACCAGAGAGGACACTTGGGCTGTTAGGTGCTGGGCTTAATTATAACACAACTCACCATTTCTAAAAGCAAGTGGATTAATGTTACAAGCAGTACTTATTGAACGCTTTTCTATTCTTGGGGAACTTAACCTTTTCAATTTAATACATTTGATTTCCAAATTCATTTGAAAGTAAAAATAAAACTGTTTGGTCTTGGTGACTTTCCCAAGTTTGTGGACCCAGAATTTTTAAAAAGTTTCTTGTGCATTTCTTATAAACTTGTTTTACTTATCTCATTCCTATATATTCCCATGATACAGTTTCTATATTTTTTGGACAATTAAATAATTAATTAAATAGGATATTCTGGTATATATTCTGCCTCTAGAATCAAATTTTCCATAATGAAAAAAAGACATTTGCTTTATGACCCTTCGGTCTGATTCATTATAAGAAATACCTTCTTAGAGATAAGTTTGCTACTAAAGCAAAGGTGGAAGGCTCATTTGTAATTCTGTAAGAATTCTTACCATATGTCATTGTAATAATTTGTAGTACAATGAAAACATTAGGATGCTTATCTAACACCCCCACACACACTAAGTCCTTTTACGGAATGGATAAAACATATTTGTGAAATATCTTTTTGCTTTGAAGTGTCTCATAGGTTTTCAATCACTGATTTTGCATGATGACCACACAATCTTCTGAATAAATCAAGATCTGTTTCCACAGTACAGGTAACAAAATTTAGGCTCAGAAAATGTGTGAATTACCAAGGTCAGGAAACGTGTAACAGAGGTTAGAATCCAGACCTTTGATTCCCCGCTATACTGTTACAACTGGCTGAATGCAATAATGAGCATTGAACACTTTCAATATTAATAGAAAAGAGATTATAGCCTCTAAAACTTTTATGTTTTATGGTTGTTGATCACTTATACCCTTGACACCAGCTATCTTTAAAATATAGAACACCTTGAAATTCTTCCCCTTCGCTCCAAGTGAATTACACAACTGTGTCTCTTGGCAAGGCACACTCTATAAATATTAGCCAGGAGCAAATATGCAAGGAAGCACCACTGAAAAATACAAGTACATCACTGCTGTCGTCAAATCCACCCTCTCTCTCTCTGTCAGCAAGGGAAGAGGGAAAGTGACCTCTAAAGACACTGAAAAGACAACTGAACTTACAGGGCAATGCTAACAGGTCTGAGCATGGAGTGCCTTTCACAATCCATTTATCACCTATGACTAGCGAAAATGCGGCTAACCTGTAGTGACTGTTCTCACTGCCCTTCACCGACCATATCATAAGTACATCCTAATGATTCTAACTATGTTTAAAATATGGTGCCCTTCTGAAGAAAGTTGAGTTTTTAAAGGGAGACTGGGGAAAAAGATAGGTAGAATATGATCACAAAGCAAGCGAATAACCCAGGTCCCCTTGGACTGCATATGGAATTTTAATTCACTATGGTGAAGTTCAAGAACTTCTATTTTTCATGCCTGGCATTCCTCCAAAACCCGCGCAAGTAATGACTGAGGGTGAGTAATGACTTTTGTTCCATGGTATGATGGCTTATTCCTCCTACAAATTTGTCATTCTTAGCTGTGCACTGTGGCAAACCCTTGAAACAGATCTGCCCCCAGGAGCTAGAACTGCTTTCACAGTAGTGCATCCACATAATTAGATCATTTGTGTTGGGGTTGCTGTTGTAGCAAAGCACTGATTATGATCTGGGAGAACTGGCTTCTAATCTCAGTCACTTCTGCCATTTTGAAGTAATCACTCCATTTCTGTTTCTGGGTTCTAACTGAGACACACCGATCCTTACCCACCTACTTCTGTAAGAAGAAAAATGATACTCCAAGCATTCCAAATTTTGAGTCTTAGAAGACACCTATAACCAAAAGTGATATCATTTTCATTATTGCTTATTTTCCCAGAGATAATATACAACTATCCTTGAGACACCACTAACACTAAACTAAAATCAAATATCCACTTTCTCAGTTTGTATCTAGTTATAGTATTTTTACGAAGGTTTAGAATGTACTATTTTCTGGTTTTCTTGTTATAATTAAACTGAATCCAAAAAATATGTTTTCCTTAGAATACTTAATTGCAAATGATAGTTTCTTATACTCCTTTTAGAATCTTCTCAGTGTGGAAGTTGAATTTGCTAACACCCCACTGATGCTACTACAAGTATCATTTCCTTTCTGCTGGGATGAATTTCTCTGTCTCCATTTTCATTCTCTGTCTCCCTCTCCCTCTCCCTCACCCTGTCCTTCCATTCCTCCCTCCCTCCCATCCTTTCCCCACTTCAATCCCTGGAGACTATAGGAATCTATAGGCACTGCTTAGCCCTACAAGTGTCAGGACTGAAAGGCACTGAATCCTGAGTAACCTAAGAAGTGAAAGCTGGGAAAGCATCTAGAACATTTTTAGTCAACCCAGTGAGCACACTAAACGTAAGCAGGACACTCAAGTCTATTCTAACCTATTTTCCTATCAACATAAAGAGGGTTTGTTCCTATTTCATGTTTTACAATTCTTACTACAGAAGAAGTAGTATGTAAGCTACTGTGATTACTTGTGGACAGACAGACTTATCAGCTGCTATTTACCTCAGTGTCTTAATCTGCACAAATAACAATAAAATCAAACTTTCTTAAAGAAGGGTTAAGAAGAGGAAAATTCTATGGCAGTCTCTACATAAAGACCTATAATTATCAAAATTACATAGATACTTTCCTTCCAAAATTTTTTAAAATAACATTTCCAAGGGAGCATTCCAAAGAGCCATCACAGAATATGACTTAACACACTATTACAACAATGTGACCTTGCACATATAAGCAGCTCCATTTTTTAGACCCACACTATCAACAATTGAATCTAGGAACAGAGGAGCAATGAGAGAGTAAAAATATTCGTCTTCTAGTGGTATACTTAAATTTGCATTTTCACAGGAACTGTGGCCATTCCACATGTTAAAAAGTACTGGTAATTTTACTCAGAAAAAAATTACAATGAGCATTTGCTAAATTAGTAGGTTCTACAGTAAAATGAATATCAGTAAATCAGCACTTTGGAACTATGTTCACATCTGTATTTTCTTTGGAAAGGTACCTTCGCTTCACCGCAACACTGTTGATGTTAGAAAGAAGAAATATGGGTGTTACCTGGGCAGGGAGGTGGTGGCTGCCTGAGCTGAAGTAGTTCCATCGGCGCACGGTCACGTTGGTCAAGCACAAACCACTTCTCAGTGTCTTCACCACTCGGTAAGCTGTCAAAATCCTCGTCATTTTGAAGATGGATTGTGACTAAAGCTAAACGAAATCACATATATGTTATGAGACTTTTGTTGCAAGACTTTTGACTTGATGTCCAAGAAGGCTGGGGAGGAAGCAGTGTCAACAGGGTGCAAGCCTGACTGCACAGAGTTCTTTAGATTTCCATTCATTCTGCCATTAAATGTTCACCCACGGCTCCTCCTCCTCTGAGCCCCTCCTCCCACAGTGAGGCCTAGAGATGTCTCATGAACATGTAATACAAATTGCAACACGTCCAGTACTACCTTCTCCTGCTGAGGTAATGCTAGTGTGTTAGAAAAACAGTTGCCCATCAAAGAAATTGCTTAGGCAACTGAATAGAGTGACCTAAACTCTGTGGCCAGTCTTATCCTAAAGAGTAGCAAATTTCTAAAAATGCTAAAGATCAAGGGCTTTTGTTTCTGTTATACGTGATGCCTAATTTGCCTCAAAAGAGACTGTGGGTTTCCCAAAAAGCCTAAGCCTCACCATCGTTTCCTTGGAAAAAGATAATGGAAGCCATAGACAGGTTTTTAAAAATCAAAATAAACTTTAACCCACAAGTAGACAGTAAACTGTTCTTCATAGTTTTGGAAGTTAAGAGGGCAGTGTATCATATTCTTACTATTGCATTGTTTGGTGTTCCAAATTTTAAAGCTATCAATAATAGCAGGTAAAATGCAACTGGAGAAAAGTAACTCATTATATCTATCAAAAGTCTGTTAAATCTGTAAGAAGTATATGAAAGAATGGGTCAACACTGACTTTAAGATAAGCATGTTTCCTGTCAAAATTTTTTAGTTATTAAAATGGTGCTTATGTTTCAAGAAAGTAAAGTTGATTCACTTAACCCTTCCATCAGGCAGTCAAAGTGTCTCATGGCTGGTGGGATCTCTCATGTAAGTCACCATTCTCTGAGGAAGCACCACACACTATGTTTTGACATCCTTGCAAAGGAATCCAAGAAGTAACAGCAAAGAAGCTCATCCTGAGGCTTTCCACAACAGAAAAGAGGACATAAACTCACGCAGGCATTGCAAATCTGACCCACAGGAAAGCAGGGCCAGAAAGAGGGTAGGGAGCAAGGTAGGTGTTTAAAAAATTACTGAAACAGAACAAAGTTTAAGCTACGTCTTCTCCCATAACAAATTAGCACATCAACATCCTCTGAGGTCAAACTCCATGGCTCTGATGACTTTGCAAACTGAACATAATAGTCTCATACTAATAAATATAAGAAATTAGTAAAATAACTAACCTTATGGAAGTGTACAGCAAATGCAATGGGAAAAGAAATAGAAGGGAAAAGAAATAAGGGGAGATTTAGCTCCTTTTGCATATATAGTCAAGTTTAAGTATGTGATTATGTTGGGCTATATTTTGAAGGTTACAAGTACTCCATTTAGATGGAGCTTAGGAAAAAAGACCAGAAAGGGCAACAGAGGAAACAGTATGGAAGGATAGAATTATACAGCATATTTTTTAAACTGAGCCTGAAAAAACCTAGATGCGGGGTACATAAGTCAATACTATGTCACAGAAGACTTTGTGGCCTCAGAGACACTTGCCCTTCACTCCTAGTGTTCTTCACAATTGTAGAAGTGTTTTGAATAAGAAATTAACGTGAACTGGGCCAGAGATATAGCTCAGTGGCA